ATAATACAAATTTCGGTAATTATGCAGAATAGCCATAGCAATTTCTTTACCAATATTAAAATAATTGTTATATGACAGGTTTCATAACATTAATATAAAATCAATATAACATTTGTTGTATAATATGTTATATTTATGTTATATTACTTCTATTTTTAAATAACGAGAAGCTAACAAAGCAATGTAACAGCTATGAAATAGCTATTATATTGCGCCTAAAAAAGAAATTTATATTAATGTAATATAAATACCGTGTAACATCTGTTACATTACATGTTACTTTCATGTTATGTTGCAGTTAAATTCAGTGTTTGCTGGGTAATAAAAGAGTTTTTAAATAATTGTTACGTCCTGATAGATGTAGTAATTTTTTCGTTGGGCTCGGCAATCGACGTAAACGGACCTGACCGCACGAGCCGAGCGGCACGTTTAGGCTTGCGACGGGTCAGCGACTGGAAGAGTCGTTTTTACTCCGTCAACAAGTCAACCGCTCGTGGTTCCCTTTTTGGGCAAGGATTGAATCCCTATTACCCGGGGCGGAACCTTTGTGCGCAATTTGAGAGGGAAGGTGTGAGGGGGTGACGAACGAGGAGGGTGTGGTTAAATAAAAAAGAACAAAAGTTTAATTTACTAAAGACAACATTTTAATTTGATTGAATTTATAATTAGGATACAAAAACTTAATTCTTAATCGCATATGTTAATAATTTTATTTATGTATTCTTTACAAGTGTGTGTGTGTGTGTGTGTGTGTGTGTGTGTGTGTGTGTGTGTGTGTGTGTGTGTGTGTGTGTGTGTTTATTTTTCCGGAGGGAGGACAGAAGAAATAATAAAATAAAGAGAAATGAACTGACTTACTCGTTGCAGAGTAGTTCGGATCGCGTTGAATATGTTCGGTGGTTCTGAGCAGGCGCCCCGTTGAGGGAAGGTGTTGTATAGGCGTCGGACCCTTTTGTAAACGAGTGGGCACCCTACTGCGGGATGGTGTCGTCAAGGTAATGGACCCTCTACTTGAGATGCACCACGAGATGGTCGCGACAAAGTATCAACTGATTTTACTCTTTGATTCGCGCCCCCGAACTACTCGAAAAACTGTTTCGAGAAACTGAGCTAAACGGAATAACTGCGCAAACTGCTTGAAAAACTGTGTGTGATTGTGTCTGGAGCCACCAGAACACGGGTTTTTATACTTTTTCTTTGGGGTAGATCCCTTTGGAAAATCTTAGGTTTTTGGAGTGGGGATCGAATAGGAATTAGTCTTGCGAGAAAATTTTTAATGTGGGGGAGGATGGCGTCATTTTTAGCTAATAGGATTGGGTTTAGATGATTAGGTTACTTGAAATGAGATAGGAAGAAAGAGGCCCTAACGAATAAGGAATAGCGTCGTTTCGGGTCCATATATGATGGGGGTAGGTTTTTGAGGTGGCGTAACCCGGTTGGTGTTAATTAGTATAGGTGGGGTGCATCTCAGTGTCTTAAGATCTGGGTGGGCGTAGTCTTTAGACCATACGATGGAATGATGGGTGGTCTATAGAAGTGCTTGCCCCGATTCTCGGCTTTCGGATTGGGTGGTTAAGAATCGGTATATAAGTTACGCAAAGCCTTGGGTCACTGATCTAATAAATTTGACAGTTTACGACTGTCGCGTGCCCTTGGTGTCGCGTGGAGAGTGCGACTAATGCATCTCGGTTTCCCAGACCCTACTAAACACGTGCGCCGTATCAGGTGTCGCGCCTTCTCGGCATGCGACTGCGGTCATTCCCCGATCGTTACTCGGTAAAACCCTATCTACTAGCTAGAGTTCCCGTAGGTGGAATCCAAGAGTATGACTAGTTGGTGCCTAGTTTTTTCTTTTTATCTCTTACTCTAACCGTCTGGAGTCGGTTAAGGACTCCAGCTACCGCAAAGTTTTGACTTTTACGGTTTTTCTGGCGACGATAGGCACGCTGAGCGGCCAAGGTATTTTGAAATATCCATGCTATTTTTCTCCGTGAGAAGATTCGAGCTCCTGGTGTCTCATGAGAAAAACAGCTCTGGCGTTATAATATTTCTTAAGAGTTTTGTTGGTTCCGCGTTTACTAGGTCTGGTATTTAATGAAAAGAAAAGAATCGTGTAGTCTGATCAGGACGTAACATAATTATCATTATGAAATTTACTAAATTGAACTGAAAACTGTTACTTTTTAATAAAAAATTGCTGAAATATTTATGGAATTAATTAATGGGGTCAATTGAGAGAAATTTTCAAATACATTTCAGCAAAATTTCGTTATATTTTTAGAAAAATATTTCTATTAGGGTAGGCACCAAACTTAATACGCGTACCAACGTTTTGACGATGTAAACTAGGTGTATATTCCATTTTTATTAACAGAGACAATGCAATGACATCATTAATCACTTTTAAATTAATCTAAATTTGTCCAACTAAAAGAATTAATAAAAAGTGTTTCTAATAAACATACTTTTTTTTCAAATCTAATACAATATTTGTCGATAAAACTTTTTCACGTATTAACAATAAGTCATAACTTTTTATCTTGTTTTTAATTATGCAAAACTTTATTCAATTTTTCAATTATACCTTTTAAAATGCATTTTAGTATTTGCATATTTTCAGAATATGGAATATACACGATTTCACATAAAATCACATTGGAAAACACGTCTTATTTTCTTTTACAGATGTAAACCACTATTATCTTCATATAATTCTAAATTTATTACATATTACAACTGGATATTTGCTGGTTTTAAAGAAAGTTATATACATGAAGCAGAAGAGAAAATGTGTAAGGGCACATTTTATAGGAAAAATAAATGCCTAGAAATGACTGAAAATACGGTTTGGTTTTGTGATGATAATAATGTTTTTGCTTATAATCGCGCAAAGAACGGTACCATTAAAAAGAATAAAATGATTGTGGGAAATAATAACACTTTTATTAAATCTATTGCTCTTTCCGATGATTATATTATAAGTGGTGACGTGTGAGTATTTATTTATAAACTGTATTTTATATTTATTCCTTTTTTTATTATTGACAAAAATTCTTGCAGAGATGGTATTATTAAGCACTGGAAAATTGAATCAGAGAAGGATAGAAGAAATTATCTTAAATATTCAGTAATACATAATGTACATGAACAAATTGATCTCATAGATGCAACATCACAACACATTATAACTGGTTCTGAGAATTTCATAAAGGTAAGATTCAAGAAAAATTGCAATAATACTATGTTAATGTAGTATGTAAAAAGTTTGTTTTTTCGTAGATACTGAAATATACAAATGATAAAACAGGTTGTACAGAAGAAAACGAAATATTTTGTGAAGCCGACGTGGAACGACTTGAAATGCAACTTCTTGACCACGATTCTTGTGTGGAATCAATCTCATTTGACCCTATAGGAACAAAATTTGCTGCTAGTTCCTATGATCTTCATGAATATTATAATCCACCATCAACGTTTCTAATTTACGATATTGAAAAAAAGTAAGTTATATTTCAATTAATTGATCAGTTTCTGCAAATGTTGAATTAAACATTGACTACATTTATACAGACACTATTACCTAGTAAACACATAGTAACAGTAACGTAACATTGATGTCATTATTTCCCACTCAACAATATAATTGTTATGTACAAAGCATGTTGTATTACAATTACATTGTTGAGTGAAAAATTATAACATTGACGTTGTGTTACTGTTAGCTTGTATTTACTGGATATATGATTCGATTTAATAACGTTTCTAATTATAACTTACAAGGACAGTTTGATAACCCAAAAATTCTAAAAAATCTGAAACTGCAGAAATATAATATATGAACCTAATAAAAAAGCTATTTCTTGTTTTGGCAAAAAATAATTCTAGAAGGGGAAATACCTTTCGAAAAATCGGATTTTCTTTGAAGAGTGTTTCCACTCCTAGAATCATTTTTTAGTTTTTTTTGTTAGTGAGTACTAAACTATATATACAGGAATAGGCACTGAATCGCTTGTCGCGAGAGAGAACTACATGTCGTGTATTGCTGTCTTTTTACATACAGTCAAGTTTTAAACTTTTGACTGTGTTTGGCGTAGTAGGTACACATCAGTTACAGGAATGCCTTAGGGCCTATCCAGACAAACTTGCATAGTTGCTTAAACATATGCATAAAAAAATTGATTGTTCCATTTTCTTATGCATTTGCTTAATGACCAATCAATTTCTTTATGCATATGTTTATGCAATTATGCAAGTTTGTCTGGATAGGCCCTTACACATGAATTTGTCAACGAGTGTCAAGACACATTTGAATTTGTTTGTGAAATTCACACTCGTCCAAGTTCATGTGTTAAGGCATTTCTGTGATCGTGTGTACAATCGGTACAATACCTACGAATCGAGCGTCAAAATTTTTTGGTCTGTCTGTATATCTATAAAGTATAAACTGCTGATTTTCTATCTCAATAATAAGTGAAGGACGTGGGCATGAGAGAAAGTAAAAATATATCTTTCTCTCTTTCACATAGTGGAAGGATCCGTCGTTAAGCCTGCATCAGATTACACAATGAAGATTGAAAATTAAAAATTGAAGTTAACCAATCAATACAAAAAAAGCCAAAAATTCTTTATCCTGATTGGTCAAATTTCAATCTTTAATCTTTATTTTCAATCTTCAATGTGTAGTCTGATACGTACATTATGCCCGTATATAAAGCTATACTCTGTCCAGCAAGAGAAAAATCCGGTTTGCGCATAGAAGCATAGCAGTCAAAGTGGAAAGAGCGTTGCGCCACTCGCTGGCATTGAAAAGCTGCACAATCAGTACAGTTGTGTGGAATGGCGGGCTTTCTAAGCGTCCCGTGAGAAAAGACCTGAACAAAACTAACGAGTTTTTGTTTTAACCGTGGATTTTTCTTTCGCTGGACAGAACATAGGATTTTATGTATTATTGGAATAAAATATACATCATGTTAATGTAAAGCAATTTTAGTTATCATGTAATGGTTAAAAAATTTGGAGATAATTGTCTCCAACTACTATGGGAAGATCCTCAAACTATTCTCATGTGTTTTAAGTATTATATTAAAAAAATGGACATAAGGTAATAAATCTTATTGCTGTTATTAATTAACTATTTAATTTCTTTATATTTGCTACTGTGATTTCAGAACATCCGAAGTTGTACGTACATGGGATACTTCAAACTATGAAGAATTATTAATGTGTTGTTCATCAGATAATCAGTACACTTTTATGACGGGATATTCTAAAGTTATTCTATGGGATCAGAGACAGAGTGATGCCATTCAAGTTTGTATTTTATTTTCAAATAATTTGTATTTTGTACTTTATTAGTGAATTATTATTGTCTTAAAAATTTTTAGACGTATACTATGGAACATGACGATAAAAGTATATCTGCTCTAGAATTTGATAACTCTCATATATATGTTGTTAAACATGAAGACCTTTATGAATTGGACTTCACGGGAAAACAACACTTTGATCACAAAAAAATAAAAAAGTTGTTTGGCAATTTTTATTAAATAAAATAAAATTGGTTGAAAATTTTTTTTATTATATTTTGAATGTTTACATAATTTCAATGAACTCTATACATATTGGGAAGCCCCGTGCTGCTCAAGATGCGATCAGACAAAGAGATCATTCGAATTGTTTTATTTTTTCTGGTGTACATTCTTTTCACTGAATTCTATACATGTGTATATTTATGTATACTCTACATATATGAATATAAAAAATACAGACTTTTTTCAGCCTATAAAAAGAGACAAAACAATTCCACTATCTTTCTCTGTCTCTCCTTTATGCCACTCTTATATTGAAAAGCCTGCATCAGACAAGCCTGCAACTTGTTACAGCAATTCACAAGCGATTTAGTAAATTACTAAAATTGCTGTGTGCTGTATGAATTTATGTAATACTCCTATATTGCTGATTGAGCTCGAGAGTTGGAGCCATTGTACACAAAATGACATAACTGCATATGCATAGCATAAGACCGTCTCGACCAATAAGCATCTAGCAGAAAGGCGTATATTGATATGTTACACGGACTAAAGCCGAGAGCACAAGCTTTTACATAAAGCATAACGCATAAGCATAAGGAAATTGATTGGTCTATATATAAGCATCGTATAATGTATGCTATACGAAGTTAT